AAAAAAGGAACTTTTTAATGGGTATAGTTGAAATTCATTGAAAATATATAGATAAGTCAATATACAATATTACAAATACCAATTAGCTATTTGTAGCAAAAAAAATATCAAATTTTTGCTTTGTTTTGAGTGGGTGTTATTAGAATAGATTAGGCACAACTTAAGGGGCGGGCCTCGCCCCTGCCCAGCCCCGCCCCTTGCCCCACCCCCCACCCCCCGAAAAAATATATTTTTTAAATATATTTTATAGTTTTAATTTTTTTTATATATCGGTTTAAAGGTTCAAAATTTTACAAGTTCCAAAATTATGAGTTCGGAGGTTTATGTGTTTGGAAGTTTACGGGTTTAGAAATTATAAAGTTTACGGGTTCAAAATTCCGCGGTTTTGAAAGTTTAGCGGTTTGAAAGTTTATGAAATTTGTGGGTTCGGAAGGTTGTTGGTTTGAAAGTTTATGGCTTCATGTTTATTATATCTAAATTATTTATGAATACTCTTGAGAAGTTATTTTTCTTAATTTGCGTACCAAACACCAGAAAATGATTAAGATTTTTTCTTGTTTTCCAAAAAAAAACATTTTCTTAGAAAATATTTTTCACAGAAAATATTTTTCTTTATACCAAACACACCCTTAATGTAAAAATGTCTTTTGACCTATATGGGCCATTTGTTTCAAGGGATTAGGCGGGTTATTTTTATCCTTAATTTAAGATTAATTTTATCTCGTGTTTGGTTGGAGGTATTAGTTAAATCCATTATTATTTTTATGCTAATAACTTACCTCATATTAAAGGTGAAATTGATTATCCAGATAATAATCCGATTATAATTCCAAACTTATAATCCTGGAATATCTTGATTTTAAACCAATCGACTTGTGTTTCTAAGGGTTATAACTTGTTCAGCTCAAAAACCAATTTACTATTTGGACAAATAAGTTGGCAAACAAGAGCGATGATATTTTGGACCGTGTGTTGGTAAAAACTAGCTCCACCAAATAATTATGCTGGCGTTTTAATAGTGAAATTTGAGGGGTTTAAGGTTAGAGATCCAAGATTATGCTTTGTTTGTACGATTAAAGAAGAAATGATGGTTACTCATAGCTAGATAATAAAGCAAAATATGATGGCCATTACTTTTTCAATCACAAGAAAAAGACAACACCACATCACCAGCAAATAGAAAAATCTTTCCAGCAATTTTCATGAAAAAAGTCAAGGATTACACGAAAGCAATTTGTCAATTAAAGTGCTCTATGATGCATGCAGACACAAGTGTGCATAGAAGACGACATAACCAAAAATTATACTCATGATTTTGTTACGTCACTCTGAAGCATTAGCATTTTTTTTTGGGTATTATTACTTTTAGTCTGCGCCAGAAATTATTTATATCTAATAGTCAAAAGAGTGTATAAAATTTGTATAATTTTTGTATATAAGATATAGAATGTGTATATATACAAAAAAAAAATATACAAATTTTATATATTTTTAGGGTTATTATTTTTACAGCGGCTATATAGTTCATTTGGACATACCTCAAATAGATGAAGCTGAAATTGTTTGCGAATTTGAGCGTAGAGAACAGTGTATAAAGGTTATAAGATAAGTATTCCCATCTTCAACTTTTTAGCGTAAAAATAGCACGGTATAGTCAGTTTTCGGACTGGTCAATCAAAAATAGCCAGCGTTTACCAAGTCAATGAAAAATAGCCACTATTTTGCTGCAATAGAGACCGGTCCAGCATAATATACTGGAGTTCGGTGCACTTGTGTATGAACTCCAGCATATTATGCTGGACCGGTATACTTTGCTGGCTCCAGTATAATATACTGGAGACTGGAGCACCGCTGCTCCAAACTCCAGTATATTATTCTGGACCAATATACTTGCTGGAACTCCAGTATATTATGCTGGAGTTCTAGTGTACTTATGCTGGAACTCCAGTATAATATGCTGGAGTTCAAGTATACTTATGCTGGAACTCCAGCATAATATACTGGAGTATTTTCCGGGTTTTGAACAGTATTTTCGCTCAGATTTATCTTTATATAAAAAGTGGCTAAATTTTGATTACTTTTGAAATTGGGCTATTTTTGAACGACCAGTTGTAAATCTGGCTATTTTTAAAATTTAGCTTGTGATATAACCCCATTTTAAGTCTCAAATTACCTTCGTAATCTCTCTGCCTTACCTTTTTCGCTTTGATAATTAGGTGTCAGTCTATAATATAACTTACATACTGCTTTTAGAGGAAAAGAAATTATTTACACATATATACAAGAAATGTTTTGGCTAAACGGTGTGGGATGACACATATGAGAGGATGACTATGCCCCCTTGCATGGGGGCCTACACGAAGGGTAGGTGAAACTGTACAGAGAAGTGATTTCAAGGCCACGAAGCCAATCTGCAGAGCAGTAGGTAATGTAGTACAATACAAATCAAACTCTTAAGTCCTACGAGTACATGGGCTAGGAATCCTAATACGCCCCTTCAATCTGGACGTATTGAAATAACGGCAGATTGTCACGCAAAAAACAAAGATGAGGATAAATCTTTTGTAAAGATATCAGCAAGTTGGGAGTGAGAAGGCACATATTGGACAACAACATCCCCTTGAGCAACTTTATCCAAACATAATGAAAGTCAACATTAATATGTTTAGAACGGTCATGGAATACGGGGTTACGAGACATGTATGTTGAGCTGACATTGTCACACAATACTCGAATCGGTTCACTAAGATAAAGACCAAGCTCATGAAGAACATGATGAATCCAAGAAGTTTCAGCTACAATATAGGCAATAGCCCTATACTCGGCCTCTGTAGACGATCTTGAAACTGTCGGTTGTTTCTTCGCACACCAAGAGATAAGATTGGAATCCAAGAAAATTGCAAACCCGGTAGTAGAACGCCTACTATCGAGGCATCCAGCCCAATCAGCATCCGAATAAGCAATCACCAATGAATTTGATGAAGAAGCACGGAAGAAAGGTCCATGTGAAATAGTACCCTGTAAGTACCTAAAAACACTGCAAATGAGTTGTACGAGGTGCATGCATAAACTGAGAAACAACATTCACAGCATAGGCAATATCAGGACGAGTCAAAGTCAAATATTGAAGAGCACCCACCATGCTCCTATATTCACTAGGATCTGAAATTAACTCACCATCCATAAGAGAAATAGAAGTACGAGAAGCTAGAGGTGTGAGAACTGGCTTACAAGTATGCATGTGAAACTTAAGGAGCATGTCTGAAATATACTTTTGTTGAGATAAATGAAGACCACCAGGTGAGCGAACAACTTGAACACCAAGAAAATAATGAAGATCGCCTAAGTCTTTCATGGCAAACTGAGAGGAAAGAAGACTAATGAACTGATCAAGGAGAGATGAATGACTACCAGTTAGAATAATATCATCAACATAAAGCAATAGGATAAGAATACATGATGATGAACGACGAACAAACATAGAGGTATCAGATTTGCTACAAATAAACCTTGAGAAAGAAGAAATGTACTAAAGCATGAAACCATGCACGCGGGGCCTGTTTAAACCATAAATGGCTTTGGTCAATTAACATGGTGAGGAAATTCAGGATGAATAAAATCAGGAGGCTGTTTCATAAAGACTTTCTCGGTAAGAACACCGTGTAAAAAGGCATTTTTAACATCTAATTGACGAATAGGCCAAGAAAAAGAAACAGCAAGAGAAAGTACAATACGAATAGTAGTAGCTCGAACAACAAGACTAAAAGTCTCATGGTAATCAACACCAGGTTGCTGATGAAAACCCTGTGCTACAAGACGAGCTTTGTACCGCTTAATAGACCCATCCGAATTATATTTAATATGATAAACTCACTTACAACCGACCAAGTTCATGTGAGGTTGAAAAGGAACAAGTACCCAAGTTTTATTTTCCAAAAGCGCATTAAACTCATCTGTCATAACTTGTTGCCACTTAGGATTTTTCGCAGCCTAAGAGAAACAAGAGGGCTCAATATCACGAAGAGTAGCACTCAATGAAAATACTTTCTTAGGCTTAGAAATTCTAGATTTAAAACGAGTTTGCATTAGATGAATGTAATGATAGATGTGGAAGCGGATTAAGAAATGGTAGTGGGAGACAAGATAGGTAAGGATGGGGAAAGATCAGTAGAGTGTGACTCACTAGATGGATCAGTAGATAATGCCGGAGTGACTGTGGTAGAACAAGGAGAAGGGGAAGGAGAATTTGAGGAAGGAAGGTCAAAGGAAGACACAAAAGAGTTATGCGGGACAGAAAGTTGTGGAGTTAATAAGGGTGATGTAACCACAAGAGGATTTGGAGAGTGGGATGAGAAAGACACATGTGAAGGACGAGACAAGGTAGCGTATGGGAATACTGACTCATGAAATACAACATGACGACTAACATACACACGACCTGATTTAGGATATAGACAACGATATCCTTTAGAGTTAGATGCATAACCAAGAAAAATACAGTGAACAGAACGGGGTGTGAGCTTGTGAGGTACTCGAGCAAAAAGGTTAGGGAAGCATTCACAACCAAAGGCTCTAAGAAAATTATAGTCTGGAGGTCTATGAAAAAGTCTTTCAAAAGGAGAAAGTCCTTGCAATTAGGCGTTGGCAATCTATTAATCGTAAAAACAGCATAATAAGCAGCATCAACCCAAAATTGAGGTGGTAAAGTAGCCTCTCCGAGAATGCTATGCACCATTTCAATAATGTGTCGATGCTTCCATTTAGCAACCCCATTTTGTTGAGAAATTTCCGGACATGACTTACGAAAGAGAATACTCGAGTTGGAAAAATGTGAGAGCATAGCTTTGTTATCAAATTCACAACTTCCATCACTTTGAAAAGTCTTTATTTTAGAGTTAAATATGTTTTCTACTAGTTTTTGAAAAGCACAAAAATGTGTAAAAACTTCTTATTTACTCTTCATAGGATATAACCATGTAAAACGAGAAAAATCCTCAATAAAAATAACATAATATTTAAACCCCACGTTTGATAAAATTGGCAATTGCCAAACATCTGAGTGAACAATATCTAATGGAAAAGAACTACAGTGATCCACTAAACTAAATGGTCAACGTTGAGATTTTCCTAATCGACAAGGGACACAATCATTATTATAAGAATTAATCAAACTAATGTAATTGTTTTTCCTAAGACGATCTAAAGTATGAGCTCCATTGTGACCTAAATGACGATACCAGTTATCTACAGACTGACGTAGAGCAATAAATGCTTGAGGATGAGAAGACACTGATGAAGATGCTAGCGGATAAACATCACCCTTACTGGAAGCTTGCAGGAGAAATTGACCTGAGGCTTTGCCCTAACAGAAACAGAAGAAGAATCAAAATCGACTGCACAATTGTTATCTTTACACAACTTCTTTACGGAAATTAAATTATGACGAAGTTGAGGAACATGAAATATGGAGCACAAGTGTAATGGACGAGATGTAGAGGGTAACTAAGCATATCCAATATTTTTAATATTAAGCAAAGTATCATTTCCGACCAACACACGATCATAGCCAGTATAAGGTGACATATGCAGAAAATTACCTTCAGATGGGGTCATATAAGCGGACGCAGCAGAGTGAAAGTACCAAGTAGCATCATTTGTTTCACCAACAGACATAGCAGCAAAAGACTTAGGAAGATCATTAGCAACAAAAGCACGATTGAATCAATTGGTACACTGTAATGCAAAGTTACCGGGAGACCCACAAATTTGACAAATGGTAGAAGAAGGATGTGCTCCTAAGACTCCTGCAGATGGTGATGTTGAACTTGCAGATTGTGAATGATAGGAATCATGGGAATTACTACCAATACCTGATGAAGACTGTCCATGAAAACCGTTGCGTGAAATATTATTAGGTGAAGAAACTTGTTGTGATTGACCGCGACCACCAAAGGAGCCTCGACCTCTTCCTCCACGACCCCTTCCTCTAGATGAGTAAGACCGACCTCTGCCACGACCCCCTTGAGATATTGATTGATTACCAGGTACAAAAGAGGAACTAGGAGATACATTATAGGCAGCAAAGGCTTGATAGGAGACAACAGAGTCTAGTTCTTTGAGGCGTTGCAACCGTTTCTCATGAAGCAAGAATTTGGTACGAAGTTCTTCAAGAGATAGTTGGCCTGGATAGTGTGTAATGATGCCAACTAGCGTGTCATACTCTCTTCCTAAACCAAGAAGAACATGGTCAATAAAATCTTGAGTAGACACTAGAGAGTTAATTGCCGCAAGGGAGTCTACTATTTTCTTGGCCTCGCGGAGATACTCATCAATAGTCATGGAATCTGATTTGCGCATGGTAGTAAGTTGTCGCTTAAGTTCTATTGATTTAGCCTGACTAGCATCCATAAAACGTCTTTGCAAGGATGTCCAAATATCACGTGATGTAGGTAACAAGTGAACGTCAACAGCGAGACAATGTTGCAAACAACCACGATCACACACTTTGATCTACTCTGACCCATGCATGAACGATAGAGTGGGTTAACTTGCTGGTTACCAGAGACATCACATAAAAATTGAGTTGGTTGAGATGTAGAACCATCTACAAAGCCAAGGAGTTCACGAGAGATCAACAAGGAGGTGAATTGAGTACGCCAAGTGAGATAATATTCAACGGAATTAAGCTTGATAGTCACCAAGTTAGTGACGTTAAGTGCAGTCAATGCTGCGGTAGAATGAAAAGGGGATGGAATTGTTGGTTCTATTATTCCAGCATAAGGAGGGAGAGAAGGCAGACCAATCTGTCCTATAGACGAACCTGGTCGAATACTAGGAGCAACAGAGTGAAGGGGGAAAGAGTGTTGTTATGGAGGCAAAGGAGGAATTGAAACAGATGACGAAATATCTGATATTGATTGCATAGTTGCAACAATTTTTGTAGGAAAAGGAAGCGAGACATCTGAAGAAGGGGGAGTAAGTTAGTCAATGAGAAGCTAAAGAGAGAGAACCTCTTGATTAACTGGGAATGCAATCAATCACTCGAACCAATTGCTAAAGAATAATATTCAAGATTAAATAAACCTATAAATGTTACTATGTTTGTAGAGTACTATAAAGGGTCGTCCAGTGCACTAAGCTCCCGCAATGCGCGGGATCCAGGGAAGGGCCGGACCACAAGGGTCTATTGTACGCAGCCTTACCATGCGTATAATATAGACTGTAGTACTATAGAGTACTATACTGTAGTAAAAAAAAACTAGTGCTTCACCTTGTATATTTTGAGTTCGAATCAAATCCTTTACATGTTGGATAAAAAGTAATCAAGAAAACATCCCATAAGCATATTATAACCTTTTTTCTTTCCCCAAATTAGGAAAAGAGTTTCCAAAATTAATCAGGGGAGATATCATAGATCGATAGACTGTAAGTTCTAATTTAAGTTCAAAACATTTTAGAATTTCTGTATGGACTTATTTTTTACTACAAGTCAACGATTGATATGGAATATGCGTGCAACACAAATATGAGATACGTGCAACCAGAACTAGTATGTATATATCATCAACCTCTTCCCCGCATGTAAGTCTATTCTCTGAGCATATATATGTCTTACAAATTACAAGCCATTACCTTTTTATTTTGTCTAACATTACTCCTCAGGGATTGCATAGTATGATATGGTAATCTCATCTTCAAGCCTGGATACATGCTTAGACTTGTTTTCTTTTCTTATCTGTAGATACTCTTTGTACAAGAAGGGTCTGTATTTTGGTTTTTCTGCAATCTCCTTTGTAAACTGGGGAAGTGGTTCAATCCATTTGTCTCCTGACAAACTGTAGAAGAATGCAAATGAATTCCTTGATCTTCCATTAGGTCTCAGCACCCTATGGCTTGGACTTTTGAATTTGTCGTTCGAAAGGACCTGTAAAATATATGGTAACAACTCTGCCAAGTAGCTAATAATCAATTCCCTAACTCTGTTGATTGCACTTAGAGATTTACCTGAAGAGCATCACCAATATTGACAACAAGGGCACCTGGTTGTGGGGCTATTAGGATCCATTCGCCGTCCTTTTGAACCTCGAGGCCTTCAACTTCATCTTGTAACACAATTGTGAAGCAACTGACATCTTTATGTGAATTTGCTCCTATCCTTTCTGTTTCTGTTGCTGGCAAGTAAAATAAAGCAATAAGAAAATCCCAGTTTCTGTCATCGTTGAATTCTTTAAGAACGGAGGGAGGAAGCCCTAGGCACTCGCTCAGGATGCTCTCAACGACCATCCCTATCTTCAAGAATTGGGAAAATAACTCTTCCATCACCTCTCTGAAATTTCAAAAAAATTCATCATCTTAATAGCTAATAGTGTTTCACTTGCAAAACTAGCCAATAAATGCAACAGCAAAATTTATTTTCCCAGCAGCCCCTTGTGCAGGGCAATTAAAAGGGCTAACTGCATCAACTGGATATGTGTTTACTAAGATCAAATGTATTGTCTTCTATCTGGGAAAAGAAGCTTTAGATATGTAGGATAAATGACATGAAATTGTATAGCCAAACTATCTGATTAGAGATGCTTAAATAATATTAAAAATTTATCCAGTTTGACAAAGCTCTCAATTCTTGAACATGGAGCTGAGATTGATCGCATGCATTACCATCACAGTCTAGATCCAACTAGTAGAAAGCGTAAAGAATATCATTGACTAAACATCAAGAAAAGGTTCTTGGATCTTCTCAGTTGATAGAGTTTTCTCTTTGAGTCTACCAGATTAGAAGGCACTTGTTTCAATTCCAACCTCCACCCCCCCCCGAACCCCCCATCCCCACCCCCAACCCCCCTCTTCAATAAAGTTCTGTTCTTGGAAAAATGATTCGTGCCAAGTCAAATAGCTTAGACATAATAAGGATATTGGGAAAGAGCAACTTTCCATCTAAGATTGCACCTTGAGCTCTTACACACCCTTAAACACAGAGACTAATTTAGTATCTAAAGTCAATGAGTGCACAATGAGTACCTAAGTTGCGCGGACTCTTCGATTTGGGAGCCGTCCCCGTCCCGATACGAGACCGGGACGGGAGCGGGATACGTCCTGGATATGGTCAACTGACTTCGGACACTTTGACCGGAGTCCATCGACAAATTTGAGAGAAAAATTGAGATTTTGATTTCTCAAAATAAAAAATAAAACAGATTTAGGAAAATGAAAGAATAATGTCCATCTTGGAGAGTGAAAGATTGAATTCTACAATATTCATGTAAGTTTTTCACAGAATATCTCTCAAAATTTATAATATTTTTATAGCTCTATTTTTTATTAGCCGAATCCCCGCACCCGTATCCATATCCGGATCCGCACCCCCCGAATCTTAAAATTTAGATTTTGCCGAATCCGATACTCAGATCTGTCCCCGTATCGGATACCCACACCCGAGTCCGAGCAACTTAGATGAGTACGATCTTATTATATGTATACATTTTTAAACTCATTGCTTACAAGCAAACAATCAAGGAAAAGTTTCTTAACCAAAAGTGAAAAACATGAACATACCGGAATTGTGGGGGATTGGGAGGGAAGATGTTAAAATGAGAACCAGGTGGAAGCATGATGAGGAATTCATTGAACTCATAAGAAGGATTAGGCTTCTTGTTATAGCCTGCAGGAACAAGTGCATTAGGCAGTGGACAGTATTTGAGTTTAGCTTCATTTGGAGACTCAAAGAAAGCTTTGGCCAGCTTCAGAGCTTCACTGGTGAGGTCAAAGGGTACCCCATGATTCACAATTTGAAAGAAGCCATACTCAACACAGGCTTTAGTAATGGACTCTACAACTTTTAACCTTTCATCTTCACATTCTTGTCTCAAGAATGGAATCAAATCAACAGTGGGTATATTTTTCATAGCCATTCTCAGTGTCAACTTGGTTTGGTTACAACACTACTGCTTTGACTTTTAGGAATCTCGATACACTGTCTTTTGGGCAATTTACTTACATATGTTTCCAAATAATTTAAATTATTGATAAGAGAAGCATAGAAAATTATTAAATTTTAGATCTTTGTTTTCTATTTTATTCTTATGCATGCCATTGGATATTAGTTAATCCCATTAATTACTTCAGCCGAGCCGACAGTACTCCAGTTTGTTCATTGTCAGGGCTCACAGTACCTTGCCAAAATAATTCTATATTATAAGAGTCTCTGGCTTATCAGGTAATCGCACTCTCATCAGCACGTGTGACTACTGACTAGTAAAAAGGCAGCCTGGTGCACTAATCTCCCGCTATGCGCGGGGTCCGAGGAAGGGTCGGACATAGCGGGGTCCGAGGAAGGGTCGGACCACATGGGTCTAAGGGTCGGACCACATGGGTCTATCGTACGTAGTCTTACCCTGCATTTTTTCAAGAGGCTGTTTCCCCAGCTTGAACCCGTAACCTCCTGGTCACTCGTAGTGACTAGTACTAAAGTGAAAATATCACAGTAAAAATTATTAATTTGCTGTATGACTAAAATCTTAGGGAGATCAACAATAATAGTAATGAGAAAATAGGTATTATTTATATTTGTTGACTTGATCAAATACTAGATGCGGATAAATTATTGCCATGTCTCCGATCTTACTACGGTAGATGTTATGTTGTTGATATTATTAAGTGCCAAAGATCACTTCAAATTATATACAGACACCCGAATATTAAAATTGAAACATATTGCAAGGTACTACTATACAGTGTTAGGTATATCATCTTCACAACAATACAGGGTGTTTCTACCTGCTACGGATTTTAAAATATGGTGGATATCTCAATTAAATATGCTATATTGTTACCTCAACAAGTATAATCCTAAACTTTGCCCAAAATAGCTTACCCTATCTAACCTCTTCTTTTTCATTTCTTTTTGCATGGGAAATATGAAGTGAAAAAATAAGTAATTAGACAAAATTACAAAGAAAAGGTTAAAGGAGAAATGTGAGAAAAAGCTCGCTGAAACTAAAAATTAGAGTCACCACTATATGTCATTCGATTTTTCTGCAATATCCGAAACCTCTTTACAGAGACCAACTCTGATAATCGAAACACTGAAGAGAACTCAAATCAAACACAAGGTCTACCAACAGTTCATTCGTCTTCTTCATCTTCATCATCTTCATCTTCCTCTTCCTCTTCAGAGCCTCCGCTGTCCTTTCCCTGGCAATTCATATCAAATCAACCAATTCATTACCCAAGATATAAAAGAACAATCTTCAATAAGCTGCCGACACACATAAAATGGTATGTGGTTTTATGCTAAAATCACTGGCAGCTCCCAGCAACAAGATCCCCTGGCACCATATTCACAATTTGTTTTCACCAAATATAATTAATATATACCATATATAACAGAAGAACTTTATGACTGTTACTAAATATCCACTAACTAATCAAGGTTCACTATCTGAATGATACATTCATCCAGACTATATGCCAAAAGCCAAGCTCAGTCAAAGTATCAAGTGACTTGGTATCATTAACTTTCCAAGCTGCCCGGAGAAGTCAGATCACTGATATAATCATGCAGAGTTAGAAAGATAGAAATGACTTTGTTTAACATGATGTACATGAAACTTTAGTGTATCTTTTGTAAGCTTATAGATTACTAAGCATCATGATGTAAAAGCGAGGAATCTTCTCATGCGAAATCTGAAGTTTCATTTTTTGACACAATTCCAACTCATTGGTAATGCTGTCACCTTTTGTACAGGATTAGGCATGTCTAGTCCCCGTAGTTGTTTTGTGAAGGTTAGGCATTATGTCCCCCCTTCTTCATGTATTTTCGTACTGAGTATTAATATATGGTCAGCGGTCATTCGCCTAACCCCCCCCCCAAAACCCCAACCCCCCACCCCCCCCCCACCCCCCCACTCCCAAAAAAAAATCAAAATGGGTGTTCTTGACCTAAAAAGGAAGCCTATGCTCTTTTAGATCCTTGTCAAGCTTCCACCATGCAACATAATTTTTTAAGGAACTGCAGAGAAAAAGGTAAGAGGGGGACTAGCACATAATAACGTATCTTCCCGCTCATGTTCATCGGTAGAATTGGGAATCGAAGTTTAAAACAAAAGAAGTCTTTCCTCTTTCCTGGGGTGAAAATGCCAACTCTTGGAGGAATTATATATGCTCCACTATTACCTCCTTTTGGCTAGGAAAAGGGAAAGAACATTCATAAACCTGCTCCCTCTCTCATCCTAAACAAACAGTGTAAGCTTCCAACAGATGACCTCTCTTCCTCTGCCCCAGGGGAAAAGGAAGAGAAGGAACAAATACTTTGTCAGAATAGATACTTTCTTGTTCTAAAAAACAAAGATATATTCAGACCAGAAGACACTTTGATCTTCTGAATGGAAGAGTCCCCAACCAATACCCTACCGGCAGGTAAAACCAAAAGCTACGGTTTCACAGTTTTCTATCTAATGCATTTGTTTTTTACAAAGTTGGTATTTTCATTTAATTAATACCACCAGGAAGGGGTTGGAACAAAAATATTTACAGGTGCAGAAGAATCCTACTCTCTTTATGATGCTTCTAAGATTGCATCTTTTGAGACTTTGATCAAAGACTTCCTTCAACAGACCCTTCCCTTCTCTCCCTCACATGTCTTCATGTCTTAGACAAAGTTCTGATTTAACCCCACAATTTAAGCAGCAAATAGTTTAGCAAAGATGGAAATATAAATTTCTAAATATCAGAAGCACCATAAAAACTATATTGCTTGCAGAAAGTTATTTTAGAGGTTTGGTAGTAGCTCTATGTTTTATAGGCTTTATCATATATAGTTGCAGCCCTTATGATTTTAGTCAATCCTATTAGTCGAGCCCCACTTAGAAACTTTTTCCATAGTCCTCCTTCACCCTCATACCATTGTGGCCAAGGAAAGAAATAAATGTAAGCCCAAAAGGAGGACATATTACAGCCACAGATGAATAAGTACGACTTTATATGTCAATTGATGTGCACAAGGTATGAGTTATGAAAACTTAGCAAGAATGTTGCTTTACCTCATCGCTCTCAATATCTTCTTCATCAGGCTCCTGTGGTAAAGCAAATTTTGTATAATGTTATCGAGTTAAAAATGCATGACTAAATCATGACTAATAGATCAAGGAGAACAAGGGACACAGTATGACTAACATGGTCAAAGTAATTGAGAGGGTTAGGCCACAAGTCATCCTTGATTATTTCAGCAACCTGAAAATCAGAAAACAAAAGAATGAATTTGAAAATGAAACTCTATGCACCAAACACCTGACAACT